ATAGAACAATTTTCAATATATACAAAGGGGATTCAAAAAACTGTCCTGTATATATTCTTGTAGAAAAAAATAGCAGCTCAAATTGGAAAGACAGTTTTGTTAGTATTTGAAACAACGATGACAGAACTACTAGACTAATCCATTTATTCAAAATTAAGCGCTTATTTATTTCAATAATTCAGATTGAGTTTTATATTACGCAGACAGAGCTGTCACTTCAGCTGCCACATTAGAAAGAACAAGACGTCTGCTAATTTGAGTGGGGATAACATGTGCGAGTTTATCTCAGTACTTTCGTCTACCACGCTTGCTTTACGTTGCTGTCACATTTCAAAATGAATTGCGAACTTTTATAGTTGTAACAAGAAAAATACATTAAACTGATAATAATTGGCATTAAGAATGCAAACATACTTCCTTAATGTTTTTTGAAAGCCTTTTATACATTTCAGAGCCTTATGTTAAGTCAATACCGAACTATAACCATAATTTTTCCAAATCGTCAACAACTTTAGAAATGCTATCGATTTACAGTATGATATTAATCATTTATCCGATTGTAGTGCAAATACAATGGCATGGATTTAAATGTGGGAAAATGTCACATTATTCGGTTCGATCGTTCTCAACAGCCCACTATAGTTGACTACACAATAGGTCTTTTCCTTTGCATCGAAAGTGTAGCACTGAGCTACGTCACTTCTGAGAATATCGTTCTATCCATACAATTTGTATAAATGGAACGATATTTTCAGAAGTGGTGTAGCTCACTGCTACACTTTCGATGCAAAGGAAAAGACCTATTATGGCCAAGTTTTAGATAGTGTTAAATTAAAGATCTTGGAGTTATTTTCGACACAACCCTTAGCTTTAACCACTACATCTCTTCAGTTACAAGTAAATCTATGAAAATGGTAGGATTTATTAAAAGAACGACCCGCGACTTCACTAATATAACTGCTATTAAAACTCTTTATTGTACTTTAGTTAGGAGTCACCTCGACTATTGCTTTTCAATATGGTCCCCACATCATGTAACATATAAATTAAAAATCGATCGTGTTCAGAACAATTTCCTTAGGTACATAGCCTTTAAATTACAAACGTTTTATGATTATGCTACAATGAAGCAGTTTTTAGAAATACCGTCTCTGGAAACCAGGAGAAAACATAGAGACCTGATTTTACTTTTTAATATTGTTAATGGAAGATATGATTGTCCTGAAATTCTATCGAAAATTAATCTTTTTGTTCCTACTCGTAATACCAGGCAATCACAATTATTTTATATTCCTTTTTATAGACTTAATAGTACTTTTAACAGTTGTATTCCTCGTATACTTAGACTGGCAAATTCTCTGGATAATATAATATTTGATTTCTCTGCAAATAGATTTAAGCACAACATTCAAAATACACCAATGTAATTTTTATCAACTTATTGTTACCTAAATGGGCTTGCCCGTAAATATATAAATAAAATAAATAAATAAATAATCCTCGCACATACTCATAATAATTTTACAACTACGTGGATACCACCGTGATTGTTTGCAATTCGATTTCTATGAACAAAATTAGTCTAGTAGTTGTTTGTCGTTGATTTGATCATTGTTAAAAAAATACATGAATAGCAAAAAAAATTATGAAGCTATTTATTATTATTATACTCTTCACACATTAGTCTGTAAATTATAGGCTCACGAGCTAGGAGGTGCCTATCATCTTAGGAGGACGGACAATGGGCCTAACGAGGCCTAAGTGCCGTGGGGGTAACCCACCCTCCACACGTTGCAGATAAAGAGATAGGTTTACTTTCAGGAAAAATCAAGCTCTATAACGGGAAGCCTATTGTGAGACCCTTTTCTTCGCCTCTAAAAATAAAGAAAAGGGGTTGGGGTGACGTTAAGCTGTTCTTCGAACAAGGGTTGCTCAGGCGCCAGTTTTGGTAACGCAGTCTACTCTGCGGCCCTGGGGTGCACTTAGAGTACACCCTCAGCAGACTCAGTGGAGTCCAGGTACAAACACAAAAAAAATAAATAAAACGGCCAGACCTTCACTGTTTAGTTGACCTACATTGGGGTAATAGAATAAATAAGATTTTTCACTGCACTTTTACCTATTAGTAACTAAGCTCTGAAAACGGAAAAAGTAAAGGAGTAATTCAAAATTAAACTCAGGAATTATAATTAAAAATATATTTACAAAATAAAATAAATAAAATAAACAAATGACACGAGGGTGAAATCGGTAATTATATATATTTAATAGCGGTATTAAAATAAATGTAGAATATATGTGTTGTTGATACAATAGACGGTCTCGGTGTTAACAGAAAAGTGCTATAACGGTAAAATTAACTACGACCTATGCTATACCCATGAGAAAATAAAAATAATAATTTCCTTAAAAAAAAAAATATAACGGTGGGCACTAACACCCTTAGCACAAATTCTTTCCTACTAATGCAAATAACCGGTTTTAGTCATAAGACAAAAATCTACAATAGTAAAATTAAATATGATTTGAACTAAACATTTTAGAAATTTAAAGTTAATAATTTACTCTCAGTAATCAATTATAGACAATTTATGAACGGCGGTGAACGGTATCACTTTGCACTCCTGAGAGAAAAAAAATGACGGTTGCCTTTGTAAGAATGACGGTTAATATCCTCCCCGCAATACTATTTAGCTAGACACAATAGCTCAAATACAGGTGAATTAAAACGGTATTATTCGACCAACACTTTAGGGAATATTGACGATTTGAACTTTATTTATTCGGTTTCAAATTTCTCTTATGTAGACATCTGGTAGTCCATAGCTTCTACAAAAGCGAAAAAAGAAGTCTGATTCTCGACGGGGGAAGCAAGCGAATACCACTATCACCCCCTGATTAACGCGAAAATGGTTGAAGGGTGCTAAAGCCCCGGAAATGAATGTTGCAGGGAGAATTATTAGACGGAATTTTAAATAAAAGGCCTACCTTGATTAACTTTACACTATCTCCCAAGAAAATAACGGTATTCACAGTAATCCGGCACACTTGGTAAAACGACTTTTTTTAAGCGAACACCGACGGACAGGAAAAGAGGCCCTCTCATCGAAAACATCTACTTTTATCAAAAGTCGTACTTTTGCCGGAGTGGGGACGGTAGTCCCTTCTTTTCTGAAATAAGTTGTTTCGCAAAAAAACCTTAATTGATCAGCTTACTGATAAACCTACTAGAATTGCTATTTTACGACAAGATTTAATTTATTGTGAAATTGAAAAGTTTTAAACTACGAGGGCTCTTGCAAAGGTTTAGAAACGGTAATTCTATGGAAATATTAATTACAGGGGGTCTTGCAAATGTTCATAGACGGAAATTAATTTATGGAATAAATTAATGGGAATTTTAGTGACTTCGTCACACTATTAATTTTTAAAATAATAAAAATCCTAACTTAAAAACGAAAAATAATATAAGTTCTATAAGGAGATGAAACCTATTGATTCTAAAAAAAATAATAAAAATGGGGGTTAAGGGGGGTTGAAATCTTTAAAAAAATTCTCTCTCAAAAACGAGCAATAATATCACCCTACCGGCTTATATACGACAAAGATAAAAAACTAATATCAACTTAAAATTTTTGGCCAAAATCAAGCTCTACAAAGAGACAAAGCCTATTGATTTAAAAAAAACTCAATAAAATGTGGGTCAAGGGGGATTGAAAAAAAAAATTAAAAACCAAAAGCGATATCAACATGAAATTTTTAGTAAAAATCAAATTCTATAAGGGAATTAATAAATAAAAATGGGGAGATAAGGGGGTTGAAATATTGAAAAACTCCTAACTCAGAAACAAAAAACAAAAACAAATTGAAATCTTCAGGAAAAATCAAGTTTTAAGGGGATGAAGCCTATTTATTTTGAAAAAACATGATCGAAAAAGGGGTTTAAAGGGGTCTGTTAAACTGTGAAGAGTATAATATAGAACGCCAAGCATTTATATATCTTCATTCTAGTTTTACCTTTTATTATGAAATAAAAAACTTATTAAAAACAATAAAACAACTTTATTTCAGACATAAATATAAAAAAAGGACTTTACCAAAACATACCCTTTGAATTGCATATCACACCTACTTTCAGAGTTATCTGCATAACAGAATCACAACTCTTTTAGGACAGGTATCAGCGACAATTTTATACATGCCTTTACAATTTTAAATAAATCAAGCCTTATTCCCTATATATGCCTCCGTCTATGCTAACAAAACCTTACCTAAAAAATTACCGAATAACTTTCTTGTTACAAAGAATTTGGCACACTACACATTTCCTCACCATCCTAAATATATTTATTAAACAGTTCAATGTTCAAATTATACTCGAAAATCATAAATAACTACAAAAAAGTAATTATAAAAATTAAGCTGTCACTTGACGTCGTCAAAAAAATGTCTTAGGTTGCCAAACTAAAAGGTTATGAACCAGAATTTTTAATATCCACATAAGATAAACGTGTAAAAGACGATAAATACAAATCTTAAGTAATTGTAATTAATAAAAAACTCATATTGATGTCTTCAATTCTTTATTTTTTTTTTTTAATAGATTATATCAAAGGGAATAGTATTTTTTTAAATAAAAATTTAATGCAGCATATTTGATGTAAGATATCTGACAACATAGGAAGAGCGTACTGTCGAAAAAGTGTCGCGGACAATTTCAATGTATACAAGGCGTATCTATTATATCCGATATCTTTGCTCTAAAATAATGCGCTCATAGGATATATTTGTTCGTATGATGCACAGAACACTCAACTTTCTGTTATGGTTTATGGTTGACGTCAAGATCCGTGTACCTTAGCATCGGTAAGGGGAGAAGAACGTACAACTAAGCTTAGTGGATGTAAGTTAGCTTAGATTAGTGGTAAAAAGAAAACGACTATTTTTATCAAATAAAAGGTTTGATTCTCCTAATTGAATACAATGACAATCTACTTTAGGTATTGCCCAGCATATATGTTCAACAACACATACTTCCCAAATTTTTTATCTGGTACAGGATACCTGATGTCACTGGATGTTACGAAAAAATTGTACAATGCTGCATTGACGATACCTCTTATACATCTGGAAGACGTGTATATTACAGGTAACATAATAAATGTCACATATTGCTGATTTACCGTTTTCTCCACCACATAACTGGCAACATTGTTTGATCTTGCCAGGACATAAACGCTTGAAAGTCATAATTTGTTCTAAATGTTGTAGGTATGTGTGCCAAAAATGCCGGGATAGTTCCAGAAACGGTTTTCGAATTCTCCACGGGTTATTTCGAAGACGAATCTTGCGAATTGAAGAATCTTATTACCATACACTATTTCACGCCCGATAGGATGAGGCAAACGTTTCAAACTCTAAACAAACCAGGAAGTTTTGAAAAATGTCATGAACCAATTTTCAAACCGACAGCTTGGTTGAGAACGACTCTATTCTTGCCGTTGGCTCGTTCGAGAAGGAAGAGAATTTGTTAATTAGGGTGCAAAAGTGCTTTATATGTCAATTGTAAAAAGAAAAATAGTAAAAAACTTCAATCTAAGTTTTTTTATTCCCTTTTCGTTTATTATTACATATTTACTCCTAACCACTTCCTACCCCGTTTGGCCACCCTTTTTAGTACATTTCATTTAAAGTTGAATTATGAATTTTGAATTATAAATATTTATTTTAAATGGCTAGTAAAGCAATTTAGCCGTTACTGGAAAATTACTTTTTTACAACACGTATGTGATGTTTCAGAAAAGAGAAATATTTTATGTTCAAAACTAACTATTTAATTTCATTATTAACACTATACATAAATACCGGTTTGTTCCTGCGCATGTTAGCTCTATCCTTGTCACATCATATGACGTCACGTAGCATAAAAATCAGACGCATTTATATAGATAAATACAAGTAACGAGACGTTTTCGATAATAAAAAACTAACATTACTTCATTGTTAGAGGTTGTGGTTTTTATGAAGTGAAAATAGAAATTATATTGCACAAACTTGATGAAATTTCAATTCATTTATTATTGCAACTAATGGGTCGATTCTGAGACAATCTATATAAGATCTGTAGGTAAGCCAAAATCTGTAAAAAAATTACATTACATTAACTTACAGATTCTGTAGCTTATATAATATTTCCCAGAATCCTACCATAAAACAAGAATAAGATATGTGATAAAGTACAATGAGCAAAGCCACTTTATTTTAAAGAAATGTATCTTACATAAGTTGTTCATAACAAATAACGTTAAACAATAATGTACAATTTGAACGAACAAGATTCGAGTAAAACCACTGCACAGGGTGCTTGATTAAGAGATAAGAATACATCTCAGAATATTTTTGAAAAAATGCAAATACTGATATGATCCAGTATGAACGGTGTTTTGAAGACTGACTGACGAGTGAAATTTTAAAAATATTTTTTTAGGTTTGTCACTAGAAACTAGCCATAAAGTATTGAAAACAACATTTCTAATAATGCATCCCCTATAAAGTTTCGGTACTGCAACAATTATTTTTACCTTAATTTTGTTAAACCTATCCCAACAAACAATAAATTTCCGGGATATTGCTGGCCTTTTGCTGTAATTGAAGGGGAAATGAATGCGACGATTAAGAGATAAAAACCTACTTTTGGCCTTTCGATAGTGGCCCAGCATTATGTTGCTTGATGATGGCCTTATGAAGAGTAAGTAACTGTATTGGGTAAAAGAATGGTAAAAGTCAAAAGGTTTTTAACTGCCGCAAACAATCCAGGAGGACCCCGTCCCTCGTTCATAGATGGAGACACCGATGATAGCTTGTTACATACTCAACGCGTGGACATGTACTATGAGGCCAGTCTCGCATTGCTGGTATTCAGTATTCATTGTAATTTTTTACTTTTACATGTAAATTTAGAATATTTTATTAATAATTTTTTTGAAGAAGACATTTTTTCAGTATTATCTGATTATATAGCTGCATTAAATAATATTTCTACAATATTCTATATTGAAATGTCTTCTGTTTTTGTATAGAATGTATAGTTCAAACGGTGTACTACTAGTCAAAGGGCACTATCGAATATCCTGTCTGATCATGTTTCTGACACATCCCACATAACATCAATGTTCTATGAATAAACTAAGAATGTTCTTTTTAGTATATGCGTTCTAGAATGTTCTTAGAACATACCTAGTATGTACTTTGAAAGTATATTCTAGAAAGTATAAACTGATGAGTACGTGCTATGAAAGTATATTCTAAAAAGTATATACTCAGAACGTGCTAAAACCAGACATTCTTAGAAGATATCAAAAGTCATATACCCAGCATGTTCCTCATATTCTGAGAATTTTCTAAATGCTTGCAGGTAAAAATTAACACCAAATACATGCAAAAACACGTTTATATACACATCTATATAAATTTTTCCCAGATGTCGATCTGATAATTCGCTAGCAAACGCACTAACGTTGAGGGTTCAAACCAAAAAACTTTACAACTTTAACAGAAGAGCAGAAGAAGAATAAAGGTACGTTTCCTATGGAGCGGCTGACCATTATTAGTATTAAACTTTGTCCATGGAATCATGTATTCTCTCTGACAATAAAGTATATTATTAATTATACAAGTTATTAGATTAAATAATTATTATGCGTTATTTTTTTGGTTAAAATTGAAGTTACAGGTTGTTGACTACATTACATTAGTTATTTTTCTTCAAATTAAATAATTGTTAAGTACTATGATATACATTTATTTAGTTAATCAACTGAAATATTTGAATTTTTTCAATCATTTAAAAGGGCGTTAAGTTAATAAACATTTAAAAGGTATAAAATTAGTCGTTGAATAGTCCGGCCACGAGACAACTCTTATAATAAAATTAATATAAAATAACTTTGAGAATCGATATTTAGATGATTTAGGGTGATATTTAGGTTTTAGTTTTATTTTTTTTATATGGCGAATTATAAATGATTCCAAGCATATGCCAAACGGCTTGTGTGAGAAGATGGTGGATATTTATAGATTTTCTTGTCAGCATTTTGTTAAATAAATTTTGTATAAATAATATGAAGACAATGTTCAACTTCAACACTCAAGCCTTTTTATATATAGTCTTAGAATCACTTTTTCTAAGCATGTGCCAAAAGGCTTGTGTGGGAAAATGGTGGAAATTTATAAACTTTTTTTGTCAGGTTTTTGTTAAATAAATTATATATAATTAATATGATGACCATGTCCGACACTCAAGCCTTTTGTTATTATAGTCTTCTCTTCATCTTCCAATAAATAACTATTTATTAGAGTTTGAAAAAAGCCTTCGTCAATTCTGGTTTTAAATAATGGATGAACCTGTTTATTTTCTTTGCACATGCTTGCCAGTAAAATGTTTTCATCTTCAATTTCTTCTAATAGCAAATCTAATAAAAGCAATTTTCTGTTTTCACATTTTTAGAAAATGGTACTTTTTTGACAACATATCACTCGCGTCTACATTTCATAGTAAATGGGTATACTGGCGTCAGACGCTGTGCGGCAGCCGCGCGCGTCAGCCGTTCCATAGGAAACGTACCTTAACATAACCTACAATTCCTACTGATCAGAAAAGGGAGGAGGCTGACGTAGAAGAAAATGATTTATTTAATGAGATAAAAGTGGTAATTCTGTAACGAATATGTTAAAATTTAACGGACGTTAAAAATATAACGTATGTTAAATATGAAAAGCAATTCTGTAAATTCATGAAAAATTTTAACTTGTCGTAATAAACATATATAGTTCATTTGTACCGCAAAAATCTATTCTATAAGTAAAAATATGTTAAAAATTTAACATAAAGGTGTTAATTTTATGCGTTAAATCGAGGATATTAACAGGTACTAATTAGTAGGCTTTAAAACTTAACATATAAGAAATTATGACTTTTTATTGTTTAATTCAACTCATAATGGAATAAGATCATGAAAATAACCATTTTAAAAGTACTCAAGTAATTTTAACAGTAGAAATTAGACAAATTGTATTTAAAAATTATATTTTTTTATAGTGTATATAAACTTTTTGTAGTTAGTAATTGATTTGCCGTAGAAGGGCACTATTATAAGATTACTGGGGTTAGTTTTGTTTATATTAAAAATTCATGGCCTACCAAATAGTTTTTAAAGTAAATTCGGCCGTTACTTCTTTCAATATTCTTGTGCAAAAAACAGACAGATACAATAAATATGACAAGAGGAATGACATGTATTTGACAGACCTTAAAACTTAACCAAACTTTTATAGTACATTTGAACTACTTTTAACGTATGTTTATTTTTTCTGTAAATTTAACGTATGTGTTAATTTTATTTTTACAGAATTACAATTTATGTTAAAATCGTAAAATTTAACACCCGTTAAAAATAAACGTATTGAATTACAGAATTTACTACTTTTTTACCTGTATCTGTAGCTTCTGGTGAGAGATCCTTCTCAAAATTAAAAATTATTTGAGGTCTACCATGTCACAAGAAAGATTATCGGGTTTGGCAATCTTAGATATAAAGCAAGAGACAGGACCGCCGAGAGCCAGGTCGGCCCCGGGACAATTCTACAGGTCGGGCCCCGCGACAATTTTATAAAAAACATTAGGCCCTTTATACGTCCTCACCAGAGCAAGGGGCCCTCCTTATGCCGCTGTCGGGCCCCCGCTTGAGCCCGGGCCTCGGGAATTAGTCCCTGCTACCCCCCCTCTCTAGTCGGCCCTGGCAAGAGATCCTCGATAAAATTGATTTTGACAATGTTATAAAAGAATTTGCAGCAGCCAAATCCAGAAAAAAACCTATTTTATTTTTGGATAATTGAATGTTTTATTTGTTTACTGTTTGGTTTGTTTTTTCGTTTGTAAGAATAAAATATTGGTTTTGAAATATCTGTTGTTTCATTACAAAATTAAAATAAAATGTGGTTTCGCAAAAATGTTAAAACGACTACAAGAATATTACAGCAAACCAGGAAATTTAAAAAACGTATGTAACAGCTTAAAGTTGTTATTCTTCAAAATATTATTTATATAAGTACCTACTACATATACATATATTCAAAGGGCGCCAAAATATTTCCGGCACGCGGGCGGCGATAACCCTTGCGGAGGCCCTGGACTTAATTTAAAGTAAGTTTTATGCAACCAGTCCTAAGCGTATTGTTTTCTATACCATTTAAGGTCTCTTTAATTTAAGGGAAATGACAAAATCCATAACAAGTAGTATACAAATTGGAACAAGGAAGTTAATAATAAAATGTGAGCTTTTAAAAGTTTATTGATTCGTAACAAAAATACAAAGTTCATGTACCTAGGCCTCTAGGTACTTTTATATTATAATCATACCATACAAATCGGGCATCATTAGTCTGGGGCCGTTTAATCAACCCCATAAAAACTGCTGTATGCATCACTTCATTATTTCCTTAGTTTATACAATGTGTATGTAACAAATTATGTTTATAATAATATAAATACAAAATACGTCTTAAAAATAAGGGTATCTATATCTAGTTACCTCTT